CATCGCCGATTTCACATGTAAATGAAAAATCGTCTGCCTCACTCTACATTCAGTCCTGCTTGTACAAAGCAGGACGGAATGTAGAGAGGGCAACTTCCCCACAAGGACACCGCTGCCGCCCCGAGGCCGGGCCTCGGTGGCCTTGTGGGGAATCCGGGCCTGCCCCCATCCCCGCCGGCACTGCTGCCGATGGCCGCCGGCATGTTCAGCTTCTGATCCCTGCTTGGAGCCGATCCAGGCAGGGATCTGTGACTCCATGGTTCCTCGCTGCTCTCCCCCGCTTGTTACCTTTTTGCAAAAAGGCGCAATTTAAAATGTCAAAATATTTGTTATTTATTAACTCAATAAATGTAGATTTAGATTTGGTCAGAAAATATTTTTTTTGTGCACTGATACCGATTTAGTGTGTTTTTATCTATTGAATTGTGTATTTTATCGATTTTAATATTAATTTGAGAAACATTTGCGCAATTATCGCAGGGCCTACAAATTTAGTAGCACCATCTTTTTATTTTACCCGGCCTGTGCATTCAGAAAATATATGGTTTGGGGGGTCTTTTACAAACGCTAGCAGCGCAGCATTTGAAAATCAAATCAATGGGAAAAATTGCAAAAATGGTGTGGCCAGCTGAGGTGCAAAATGTTCCAGAGGGCTTGGCAGCAAAAGGGTTAAAGAGTCATATCGGGTGCAGGAGACTGACAGTTTATTGGTATGTCTGGAGGAGTATGAAGGAATAAACCTAAGGAGATGCCATTAGTAAGCCATGGATATTGCCCTGGCTTTGCCAAAATCCTGAATGTTGCTGAACTAATGCATTAAAATCTCTGTACTGTGAAAATAGTTCTGTATGGAGTTTCTTGTAGGAGAACCGTGTCTGCCTCTGCTGCAGTTTTTCTCTACTGTTTATTCCTGCATTGGTTTGTGTAATGTAGTATTAGCAGTCACCGCTGGCATATTGGTAAAGGGGCTTCATGTTGTAACTAGGGATGCACCAATAACGGGCGTTTTCACGAGTACTCATGAAAATGCCTTGATACGAAGTGGCAATACAGGTGCTTTAATTTTTTACACTGAAGCTGGTGCTGTAAACCGGTGCCGCTGTTCGCAGAAAAGGTTGCCGAGGTCCCCAGCAGCCTTCCTGTAAACCGCAGCGCCTGTTTACAGCGCCAGCCCATACATCTTCTCCTCCTTGAAACCACACCACCCACACTCGCCCATGAGACTTTGCACAGCCACCTGAGACCTCGCACAGCCCATCTGAGATCCCACACTAGGGGTCGACTGATTTCGGATCTACCGATAATCTGGGCCAATATTCCCAAATTTTCTTACAGTATCGGTTGAATGTACCGATATTACTTACTGTGAGTTTCACGCAGTGAAATACGCACAGTGGATGCCGCTGTCTGGTCGGCATCCCTTGATCAGATGATCGAAGGAGCCGGTCAGAAAATCTAAGTAGGAACAGAGTTGGTAGCCATTGAGCGACCGCTATCCAGAATAAAATAAAACATAGCAGGGGAAGCAATAGCCAGCCTGCTATTGTCTATTTTAAATATCCTTCAAGTCCTTCTCTGCTGATTGAGAGCAGGCAGTTGGCGGGTGCAATAGCCAGCCTGCAATTCAAAATAGCCAATAGTAGGCTGGCTATTGCATTGCCCACTGCCTGCTGTTCAGCTGTGGAATCCTGCTGCCGGAAGATGAATGGGGAGGGGCACAGAGGCTCAGTTGAAGAGATCGGTTGAACCCTACCCCACAAAGTCTCCCAAGACCCTGCACAGCCCTCTTGAGATCCTCCGCTGGAGACATCAGACTATCACCCCAAAGCATCAGAGTATGTAGCTTCATATTATTCTGCATTGATTTAGGTGCATTGCTGGGATTAGTAGTCCTCTACAGCCGGTTGCCCTACGGCATTGCTGTATTATGTATGGCAGAGATTTGTAGTCCTCTCTAACTGGTGGTATTCTGCATTGCTGGAATTAGTAGTCCTCTATAGCCAGTTTCCATATAACGTATTGCAGGGATTTGTAGTCCTCAATAGCTGATGGTATTGTGCTGTATAATGTATTGCTTGGATTTGTAGTCCTATATAACTGATGCTATTATTTTTGCATTGCTGTATAATGTATTGCTGAGATTTGTAGTCCTTGAAGTCAGTGGAAGATCTACCAGGGGTGTTTATAGCTGGGACCGAGCCCTGGCACTTCACCACTGTCCTAAAATCATTAGTATGTATTGCTTTAGAAAAACTGTCACATGACACTACAGAAAAAAGTATTGGTACTCAGTTTGGAAAAAATGGTATCGGTGCATCCTTAGTTGTAGTGAGTTATTGGCTTTCTAAAAAGAAAACAAAAACAGATCTATGAAGTTAACTGACCTTTTTTTATATTTTAGGTTGATCTACCAAAGGAAACAATACAAAGTTTGCTATCACTCGAGGTGAGTAGTAGGGAAAAAAAGCTCCTTCAAAAAAGCTGTATTGACAGACATGGGTTTAAAGCTAGACTCCAGACGGGTATTAAAGACACAAATTATCGAGGCTTTATATTTAATAAAACATCATTAAGTGTATTTTTTTTTTAAAGAAGCAGCACAATTACCTGAATTTGACTTTGTATCACCCTCCTGCATTCTCTTTACATCTGAGCTCAGACTGATGGAAGTAAAAGAAGCACAAGGAGTCCATCAGTGCACTTTTGCAAACGGGTACATGAATCTGGCGCAAGCACCAGCATTTGCGGTGCACAGGCACAGTGAGGTTTGGAGTGTCCATGCTGGACACTCTGTCCTCAGTGCAGCTCAGTAATCCTGAGCATTACTGAACTCCCACCTGACACAGAAGCAGGTGCAGTGGAAGACTAAAGGTGGCCATACACTGTACAACCCTCGCAAGACTTTTGTCTTGCGAGGGTTGTAAAGTAATTTAAAAAACGTACGATCTGCCCATCTTGGACAGGCAGATCGTACTTGCGATCATCGCAAGCCCGCCCTGCTGAGGGGCGGGCTTCCGATGACTGCAATCCTGAACGGGCAGTGTGCGCACACCGGCCCGTTTGGCAGTTGTCGAACAAGCGCGCCACTAACAATTCTCGGCGGGTTTTCCAGCCTGCTTGTTCGACGGAAGTCGTGCGATCGTACAGTAGAAACAGTCGCACGCCTTCCATACACTGCGATTATCGTACGATTGCGGGATTTATACTGCCCATATACTGTACGATAATCGTACAGTATATGGGCACCTTTTATACTGTGGTTGAGCAGAGTCTGATGGGAAATTCCAAGAACGGAGTTCCTCGTCAGGTCTGTTCTGCTACTGATCGCGTGTGCGTGTCACACATACACACGCAATACCAGATGTTTAAGCAACAGTGGAATTACCCATACATAATTTTCTTTGTTGGCTTCCCATTTAACACCTGATAAGGGGAAAGGGGTGTTTAGTGTTAAAGGGGCAAGATATACAGTAGGTCAGAAATATTTGTGCTCCCATTGTCATTTTGTTTTCAGTGCTGTAAGCTAAAATGCAGCACTCGGATGCAAAAAAAAAAGGCAATGTTGGTCCATGTTGTAGCAAAATAATCTGCTCATGTATAGACATCTTTGCAGACAGTAATCTTTGCATCCGTTTCCTTTGTAGTGTGGCGATGAACATATTTTCCATGCATCTATGAAGCGGCTCATGGCTAGACTGCCAAAACAAAGATATCTGAAGCAGATATTTGATGAGATTTACACAATCAAAATAGAAAAGAGGTAAAACTGCACTGACACTCGATAAACTATCTGAATTTATTTTGCATTCACAAATAATGAAGTCTAACCATACACTGCTCAAACTATGGGTGCAGCAGACAGCACCCAGTACTGGGGTGTCTATAGAAAGCTACAGGAGCGGATGGATACAAGACTGGCCACCCTGCACAAAGTAAGAGAGCAGCAGTGACAAGCTCGACAGGAAGCGCCGGCGTAGAGTCTGTTTCACACTGGATTTCTACATGAATCTGGAAAAAAAGCAAAATCACAAAGCATGCTGAGATTTAACATGTCTCTTGTATATAGAAAATATTTACTTATCCAGCAGTGCATCTTACATTTTGAATGGGCTTCAAAGCACTACAACATAGTTTATAAGGTGCCTTCCCCAAAACAGATAGTGTTTATATGGGGGCTTTAGGTTGCTATTTTTACCACAGATGTAAATCTGCTCCAACAGTTTCTGATGTGACTTTTTTTTTTTTTTATACATGCATTCCCCAGTATATACTGTACTTACAACTCATAGAAAGTACCCAGAAATAGACCACAGCTTGCCAGTTTCCTACAGAAATCAATTGTGCCATCAATTTTATACTTCATTCAGATAAATATTGCTTTGGGAAGGATGTGTGGTTGGAATAATGTCAGTAAGCAGATTTCACTATCCAAACTCCATAAAGCCCCTTACATCACTCCAGCAGACATTGTTTATCAGTTGCACATAGCTACCTCTGCTTTTCAAAGTAGAACAGGGAAAATGGCTGTATGATGTCGGCAAGATTCAGCCACAGGCTGCCATCCAATGTATAGGACCTACCTGCAAACACAGCTGACCAAGGCTAATTGGGGGAAATGGTAATATGATGGGCTCTGGGCCAACTTCCTGTTTGGATTTCAGTGCAGCAGGGGAAAAGTTGTAGCTCAAAGCAGTATTTCAGCCCTGCCTGCGTTCTCCCTGGATTATAGATTACCTAAACATAGGGGAAAGGGTGCTGCAATCCAGAAGGAACTCCACCAGGGCTGCCAACACTGCTTAGGATTTCATTTCAGCAAAGGCAATGGATTGTCAGATTAAACATGATGATTGGGTTTACTGGATTTCCTGGCAGATCAACAGGTCATTTTTCATATGCTTGTAGTGGTTTAAAGATGCAAAACATGTGGAAATATTTAGTACCTTTCCACAATACATACATGTTTCTTACTATATATCCAGACATACCATTTATTGGTCTGGTTTACCTTTTCGCACAAAAAGTAAAGTTGAAATAACTCACAATACCCACCCCTTTTGGACGTCAATACACTTAGAGGGGAACCTCCTACCACCCATGCCAGTTGGGGCAATGGTTCCTGGAAGCTGTGTAGTATCATAATGCTGGCAGTGGTGAGGCGTCATTGGCCAGCATGGCTTGTCATTTAAGCAGCTAACACATATGTTAATTTTTTTTTTGCATTGTGTTTCTACAGGGTGCCGGTGCTTGTGCTATATAGTTTTCAAGATGATTACTACAAGATCCTCTTCTAGTTTTCTCCTGCCTTTGAAGAATGTTATTACTGTAACTTTTCCCAACCTGGAGGACCTGTGTCATTACTTGGTGACTGATGCCCTCCAGCCATTAAGGGACCAGCACATCTCGGCTAATCTCTGGCACAGAAAAGTACTGTACTGTACTGCACTCAAGACCGAATTTGCTGGCACTGTTCAGATATTTCCTACTGGTATGCTTTAATCACCTTTGCTGCTGGATTTCTCTTTATGTACAAGACACAGAAGAGTTTCATTTTTTTTGTATACATTCCTATAGAAAGGAAAAATAAACAACTTAGCCAGTATAAATGTGTGTCATATTTTGGCAAGAATTGTTAAGTCTGTAACATTTAGAACAATAATGTCCTCGCTGACAGTGAAACATTTAACTTATGTTCAACACATCCTGCAAATGTATTTCAGATATGCAATACCCAATTTAGAATCGTGTTTTCAAGCACTCAACCAGACAAACTCCCCACCTAACTTTATTGCTATCACACAGGAGAAAACAATCCCCTGTGTGATAGCAATTGGAGGTGACAGGTTCTCTTTATTGACCCTGTCACCTCCAATACAGGAGTTCTAGCACAGCACTGTGCTGGAACTCCTGTGACAGGTGAGAGAGGAAGAGCAAAGCTCTCCCCTCACTGTCTACAGTCTACACGGAGCGGCCGGGTTACTTTTAACCCTGCCGCTCTGCTCACTGCAGTGAGAGACTCGGCGGCAGAGGACGGAATCAGAGGAGAGAGGTAAGTGCAGGGGGGAGGGAGGGGAGGACGGACCGGCCGGCTGCACACTGTTTACATGTGATCTCCGCGACATCGCCGATTTTACATGTAAATGAAAAATCGGCTGCCTCACTCTACATTTAGTCCTGCTTGTACAAAGCAGGACGGAATGTAGAGAGGGCAACTTCCCCACAAGGACACCGCTGCCGCCCCGAGGCCGGGCCTCGGTGGCCTTGTGGGGAATCCGGGCCTGCCCCCATCCCCGCCGGCACTGCTGCCGATGGCCGCCGGCATGTTCAGCTTCTGATCCCTGCTTGGAGCCGATCCAGGCAGGGATCTGTGACTCCATGGTTCCTCGCTGCTCTCCCCCGCTTGTTACCTTTTTGCAAAAAGGCGCAATTTAAAATGTCAAAATATTTGTTATTTATTAACTCAATAAATGTAGATTTAGATTTGGTCAGAAAATATTTTTTTTGTGCACTGATACCGATTTAGTGTGTTTTTATCTATTGAATTGTGTATTTTATCGATTTTAATATTAATTTGAGAAACATTTGCGCAATTATCGCAGGGCCTACAAATTTAGTAGCACCATCTTTTTATTTTACCCGGCCTGTGCATTCAGAAAATATATGGTTTGGGGGGTCTTTTACAAACGCTAGCAGCGCAGCATTTGAAAATCAAATCAATGGGAAAAATTGCAAAAATGGTGTGGCCAGCTGAGGTGCAAAATGTTCCAGAGGGCTTGGCAGCAAAAGGGTTAAAGAGTCATATCGGGTGCAGGAGACTGACAGTTTATTGGTATGTCTGGAGGAGTATGAAGGAATAAACCTAAGGAGATGCCATTAGTAAGCCATGGATATTGCCCTGGCTTTGCCAAAATCCTGAATGTTGCTGAACTAATGCATTAAAATCTCTGTACTGTGAAAATAGTTCTGTATGGAGTTTCTTGTAGGAGAACCGTGTCTGCCTCTGCTGCAGTTTTTCTCTACTGTTTATTCCTGCATTGGTTTGTGTAATGTAGTATTAGCAGTCACCGCTGGCATATTGGTAAAGGGGCTTCATGTTGTAACTAGGGATGCACCAATAACGGGCGTTTTCACGAGTACTCATGAAAATGCCTTGATACGAAGTGGCAATACAGGTGCTTTAATTTTTTACACTGAAGCTGGTGCTGTAAACCGGTGCCGCTGTTCGCAGAAAAGGTTGCCGAGGTCCCCAGCAGCCTTCCTGTAAACCGCAGCGCCTGTTTACAGCGCCAGCCCATACATCTTCTCCTCCTTGAAACCACACCACCCACACTCGCCCATGAGACTTTGCACAGCCACCTGAGACCTCGCACAGCCCATCTGAGATCCCACACTAGGGGTCGACTGATTTCGGATCTACCGATAATCTGGGCCAATATTCCCAAATTTTCTTACAGTATCGGTTGAATGTACCGATATTACTTACTGTGAGTTTCACGCAGTGAAATACGCACAGTGGATGCCGCTGTCTGGTCGGCATCCCTTGATCAGATGATCGAAGGAGCCGGTCAGAAAATCTAAGTAGGAACAGAGTTGGTAGCCATTGAGCGACCGCTATCCAGAATAAAATAAAACATAGCAGGGGAAGCAATAGCCAGCCTGCTATTGTCTATTTTAAATATCCTTCAAGTCCTTCTCTGCTGATTGAGAGCAGGCAGTTGGCGGGTGCAATAGCCAGCCTGCAATTCAAAATAGCCAATAGTAGGCTGGCTATTGCATTGCCCACTGCCTGCTGTTCAGCTGTGGAATCCTGCTGCCGGAAGATGAATGGGGAGGGGCACAGAGGCTCAGTTGAAGAGATCGGTTGAACCCTACCCCACAAAGTCTCCCAAGACCCTGCACAGCCCTCTTGAGATCCTCCGCTGGAGACATCAGACTATCACCCCAAAGCATCAGAGTATGTAGCTTCATATTATTCTGCATTGATTTAGGTGCATTGCTGGGATTAGTAGTCCTCTACAGCCGGTTGCCCTACGGCATTGCTGTATTATGTATGGCAGAGATTTGTAGTCCTCTCTAACTGGTGGTATTCTGCATTGCTGGAATTAGTAGTCCTCTATAGCCAGTTTCCATATAACGTATTGCAGGGATTTGTAGTCCTCAATAGCTGATGGTATTGTGCTGTATAATGTATTGCTTGGATTTGTAGTCCTATATAACTGATGCTATTATTTTTGCATTGCTGTATAATGTATTGCTGAGATTTGTAGTCCTTGAAGTCAGTGGAAGATCTACCAGGGGTGTTTATAGCTGGGACCGAGCCCTGGCACTTCACCACTGTCCTAAAATCATTAGTATGTATTGCTTTAGAAAAACTGTCACATGACACTACAGAAAAAAGTATTGGTACTCAGTTTGGAAAAAATGGTATCGGTGCATCCTTAGTTGTAGTGAGTTATTGGCTTTCTAAAAAGAAAACAAAAACAGATCTATGAAGTTAACTGACCTTTTTTTATATTTTAGGTTGATCTACCAAAGGAAACAATACAAAGTTTGCTATCACTCGAGGTGAGTAGTAGGGAAAAAAAGCTCCTTCAAAAAAGCTGTATTGACAGACATGGGTTTAAAGCTAGACTCCAGACGGGTATTAAAGACACAAATTATCGAGGCTTTATATTTAATAAAACATCATTAAGTGTATTTTTTTTTTAAAGAAGCAGCACAATTACCTGAATTTGACTTTGTATCACCCTCCTGCATTCTCTTTACATCTGAGCTCAGACTGATGGAAGTAAAAGAAGCACAAGGAGTCCATCAGTGCACTTTTGCAAACGGGTACATGAATCTGGCGCAAGCACCAGCATTTGCGGTGCACAGGCACAGTGAGGTTTGGAGTGTCCATGCTGGACACTCTGTCCTCAGTGCAGCTCAGTAATCCTGAGCATTACTGAACTCCCACCTGACACAGAAGCAGGTGCAGTGGAAGACTAAAGGTGGCCATACACTGTACAACCCTCGCAAGACTTTTGTCTTGCGAGGGTTGTAAAGTAATTTAAAAAACGTACGATCTGCCCATCTTGGACAGGCAGATCGTACTTGCGATCATCGCAAGCCCGCCCTGCTGAGGGGCGGGCTTCCGATGACTGCAATCCTGAACGGGCAGTGTGCGCACACCGGCCCGTTTGGCAGTTGTCGAACAAGCGCGCCACTAACAATTCTCGGCGGGTTTTCCAGCCTGCTTGTTCGACGGAAGTCGTGCGATCGTACAGTAGAAACAGTCGCACGCCTTCCATACACTGCGATTATCGTACGATTGCGGGATTTATACTGCCCATATACTGTACGATAATCGTACAGTATATGGGCACCTTTTATACTGTGGTTGAGCAGAGTCTGATGGGAAATTCCAAGAACGGAGTTCCTCGTCAGGTCTGTTCTGCTACTGATCGCGTGTGCGTGTCACACATACACACGCAATACCAGATGTTTAAGCAACAGTGGAATTACCCATACATAATTTTCTTTGTTGGCTTCCCATTTAACACCTGATAAGGGGAAAGGGGTGTTTAGTGTTAAAGGGGCAAGATATACAGTAGGTCAGAAATATTTGTGCTCCCATTGTCATTTTGTTTTCAGTGCTGTAAGCTAAAATGCAGCACTCGGATGCAAAAAAAAAAGGCAATGTTGGTCCATGTTGTAGCAAAATAATCTGCTCATGTATAGACATCTTTGCAGACAGTAATCTTTGCATCCGTTTCCTTTGTAGTGTGGCGATGAACATATTTTCCATGCATCTATGAAGCGGCTCATGGCTAGACTGCCAAAACAAAGATATCTGAAGCAGATATTTGATGAGATTTACACAATCAAAATAGAAAAGAGGTAAAACTGCACTGACACTCGATAAACTATCTGAATTTATTTTGCATTCACAAATAATGAAGTCTAACCATACACTGCTCAAACTATGGGTGCAGCAGACAGCACCCAGTACTGGGGTGTCTATAGAAAGCTACAGGAGCGGATGGATACAAGACTGGCCACCCTGCACAAAGTAAGAGAGCAGCAGTGACAAGCTCGACAGGAAGCGCCGGCGTAGAGTCTGTTTCACACTGGATTTCTACATGAATCTGGAAAAAAAGCAAAATCACAAAGCATGCTGAGATTTAACATGTCTCTTGTATATAGAAAATATTTACTTATCCAGCAGTGCATCTTACATTTTGAATGGGCTTCAAAGCACTACAACATAGTTTATAAGGTGCCTTCCCCAAAACAGATAGTGTTTATATGGGGGCTTTAGGTTGCTATTTTTACCACAGATGTAAATCTGCTCCAACAGTTTCTGATGTGACTTTTTTTTTTTTTTATACATGCATTCCCCAGTATATACTGTACTTACAACTCATAGAAAGTACCCAGAAATAGACCACAGCTTGCCAGTTTCCTACAGAAATCAATTGTGCCATCAATTTTATACTTCATTCAGATAAATATTGCTTTGGGAAGGATGTGTGGTTGGAATAATGTCAGTAAGCAGATTTCACTATCCAAACTCCATAAAGCCCCTTACATCACTCCAGCAGACATTGTTTATCAGTTGCACATAGCTACCTCTGCTTTTCAAAGTAGAACAGGGAAAATGGCTGTATGATGTCGGCAAGATTCAGCCACAGGCTGCCATCCAATGTATAGGACCTACCTGCAAACACAGCTGACCAAGGCTAATTGGGGGAAATGGTAATATGATGGGCTCTGGGCCAACTTCCTGTTTGGATTTCAGTGCAGCAGGGGAAAAGTTGTAGCTCAAAGCAGTATTTCAGCCCTGCCTGCGTTCTCCCTGGATTATAGATTACCTAAACATAGGGGAAAGGGTGCTGCAATCCAGAAGGAACTCCACCAGGGCTGCCAACACTGCTTAGGATTTCATTTCAGCAAAGGCAATGGATTGTCAGATTAAACATGATGATTGGGTTTACTGGATTTCCTGGCAGATCAACAGGTCATTTTTCATATGCTTGTAGTGGTTTAAAGATGCAAAACATGTGGAAATATTTAGTACCTTTCCACAATACATACATGTTTCTTACTATATATCCAGACATACCATTTATTGGTCTGGTTTACCTTTTCGCACAAAAAGTAAAGTTGAAATAACTCACAATACCCACCCCTTTTGGACGTCAATACACTTAGAGGGGAACCTCCTACCACCCATGCCAGTTGGGGCAATGGTTCCTGGAAGCTGTGTAGTATCATAATGCTGGCAGTGGTGAGGCGTCATTGGCCAGCATGGCTTGTCATTTAAGCAGCTAACACATATGTTAATTTTTTTTTTGCATTGTGTTTCTACAGGGTGCCGGTGCTTGTGCTATATAGTTTTCAAGATGATTACTACAAGATCCTCTTCTAGTTTTCTCCTGCCTTTGAAGAATGTTATTACTGTAACTTTTCCCAACCTGGAGGACCTGTGTCATTACTTGGTGACTGATGCCCTCCAGCCATTAAGGGACCAGCACATCTCGGCTAATCTCTGGCACAGAAAAGTACTGTACTGTACTGCACTCAAGACCGAATTTGCTGGCACTGTTCAGATATTTCCTACTGGTATGCTTTAATCACCTTTGCTGCTGGATTTCTCTTTATGTACAAGACACAGAAGAGTTTCATTTTTTTTGTATACATTCCTATAGAAAGGAAAAATAAACAACTTAGCCAGTATAAATGTGTGTCATATTTTGGCAAGAATTGTTAAGTCTGTAACATTTAGAACAATAATGTCCTCGCTGACAGTGAAACATTTAACTTATGTTCAACACATCCTGCAAATGTATTTCAGATATGCAATACCCAATTTAGAATCGTGTTTTCAAGCACTCAACCAGACAAACTTTTTTTTACTTTACTGTTAGAAATTTAACCCTTCTCTCACACAGTCCATCAGTTTTTGCAATTTTTGTTTCCACTGAAGATATGTGCAATCATTTCTGGTGCCTGAAGGGTAGAAAAGGAAGGTAAACCTCAGTTGGATAACCACTGGTAAATTGGTGAAAGGGTTAGAGGTCCAGTCCAGGGTTCTCTATTTACTACATTTCTAGTCTAGTTGTCACCCTGAGATACAATCTCCAAGGGGCACACAGACAGCAGGAAATGTCTTATCAAAAGGGGGGGAAAAATGCTAGTTACCTGTGGTGCTTTTTTTTCTGACTTTAGTGCATTGAAGTGTTGTACCCAGAAAAACTATAAATATAACAAGCCCTGATTTCACATGCTACATGCTTGTTCTTGCTTAGTGACTCAAGGTATGGAAACCAGAGCTGAGCTGACCAGGCAGTATGTGTCTTCCATTACTTGCACCCTTTCACTGCACTCACTAATACATTTTTATGTCTCCCCGCAGGGGGGGCGGCAGGGGTTTGTACTGTTCCGCATTCATGGCAGAAGGTTTTTCACAGAATAGCCCTTTTTGTATAATGCGCATATAAAATACTTGGGGCAAAGGGGGGAAAAAAATTGCCACAATGCCACACAGCAACACTCCTAAAAGAAGTTTTATATATTGCAGTTATTAAATTGTCTAAGTACTACACAAAACAATACCTGCATCTGCAGGCTCATTTGTAGCTCCAATTTGAAATATAGTTTTTACCATCTAATAAAGCTGTTTTTCTTAAAGTAGAGCAGGCAGAATATAATGTGAAAATATTTTCGAAACATTCATTCAATTTTCTAATAGTTCTTATGGTTAAATGGACAATCAAATTTACTTGTAGGGTGGACCTGTTCGATGGAAAACGAAACTCCAACAATGAATGTGGTTTTCGTTCGAGAAACCTGATTTTCCAAAATCAAACAACATTTTGAATGACAAATCAAATGTTCTGATGAGATTTGTTTGTATGACGGCTCTTTTTGTGACACTCCTGTGGCATACATCACAGGGCATACATATCCACACCGGGGAAGAGATACTATAGGTACTTGTATTCCTGAATCATGTCAAAGTTAATATAAGACTGCACACATCACATTGGAGGGGAATTTATCAAAACTGGAGCAGACAAAATCTGGTGAACCTGTGCATGGCAACCAATCAGCTTCTCTCTTTCATTTTCAAATCTTAACTGAACAAACTAAAGAGATGCTGATTGGTTGCCACGCACAGCTGCTCCAGATTTTGTCTGCTCCAGTTTTGATAAATTCCCCCCCATTGTGTTCTGCACAGTATAAAGCAACTTGCCTAAATACAAACGGAGATGGATACCGCTGTTTGCTCTAAGCCTTCTTTGGCAGAAACTTCACGCATGTCCCAACATCTAATCTTCCACCTGGAGCTGGGTAGTCACGTTAACACCATCCCCATACACACAACATTTTAAGGCTGACCTATTCTTGAAATCCAAAGCTTGGCTGTCTAACATGAATTTTATAGGCAGTTTGTTATAACAAAGCAAATCAACTGGAAGAAAAAAAAATTAGAGCAATGGGTGATCTTAGAGAAAAGAGCAGCTTCAGAATGCCTACTATCTAGGTAGAGCCACTCATTGCCTGGCTCTAACCAACCTGCCTGAAAACACTGTGGCTGGACCAAGTTTAGGTGAAAGAACTAAATCTTGAAGAAAAAAAAACACCTAAATATGACTGTAGATATGCTCCAAGCTCCACTAGGTATTACCATTGTTTGCAGGTTGAGTATTGTACAAAATAACAACAGGTTACACACATCCTTCCCCATGCAGTATTAAATATTTTGTACATGTTTAGGATCAAAAAAATGGAGTGCCATATTTTTTGTTATAGTCAAGGTGAAACTCAATACCATACAGAAGACAAGACGTAATGCAATGATTAAATACAAATTTAATTTCTTTTTGTGCAAAATACATATGAACAAAGGGGTCGCGGAACGTAAAATACATGTTGCCCCCATAGAAAGTGAAGAAAACGGTTTATAAATAATAAAATAATTTAGGCAGTCAACCATTATAGGCTCTAGGCAGAGTTGTGTAATATATGCCAGTGGGAAGGACAGCTCTTCCCTAGGGTGGTGGAACAGGGTCAGGGACCCTAATTTGTCTGACATCACCCCCCGTACATACAGTTCTATGTCTACAGTAAAAATACAGGTCTTCAGAGCAAATCCATTATTACATCAGCTTCCAGTGTTATGAAAGGCAACATGTACTTTAGGTTTACCGATCATTTAAAAAGGAAATCATCCTATTTTGCTTTTCAGTGAGATTAGCTTAACTAGGTTTCTTGCTTGAAGGCCCATTCCAACAAACACTTGCCTTTAAAAGGCATAAAAGTGTTTGTTTTTTAAAAAAAGTATAAGTGCACCTTATAGGTTTTCTGATCACAGTGCTTCAGTCCAGTCAGGGTTACATTACAGTTTGGCCATTCATGCATACTTCCTTGTACACAAGACCTTCACATAGCAAATCCATTCATTCGTAGCAAGCACCATAAAGACATCAAAATGCTGCAGGTAGCACAGCTACATACAGTAAATATGAAGACATAAGGTAATATGTACATTTTCAGCTTTACTATGATCATCATTCAAAATATCATATTTGGTTTACTGACTAATATAACTCAATTGAGTCTTGTTAGTAGGGATGCACCGATACTAGTACTCACCCAAATGCTCCGATGCCTAGGCCGCTACTTGACCTTCCGGTATCAGGAAGCTAGGGGGCGAGTCATTACATGCTACCCGGCTTCCTGATTGACCGGGAAGCCAGCTTCATCACTTGGTAACGAGGGAGCATGGAGGTGACTCCAGGCCAATCAGGAAGCTGCCTAGCTTCCTCATTGGTTGGGAAGCTGGTCAATCAGGAAGCCGGATGGTGAGTCATTACCCGCCTCCGGCTTTCCGATTGGCCAGAAAGCCAGCTTCATGCTCCCACATTACCTGGTGACAAGGGGGCATGGAGCCAGCTTCCCGGTCAATCAGGAAGCCGGGCAAGGACTTGCTGCACAGCTTCCTGATTGGCAAGATTCTCGACCAATCAGGAAGCCGGGCAACAAGTTATTACGAGGGAGTATTGAGGCGGCTTCCCTGCTAATCGGGAAGCTGGGTTACAAATCGTTACACGCCACCCGGGTTTCCGGCTAATCGGGAAGCCAGGTGGGGAGTCATTACACACCGCCTGGCTTCCTAAATTGCACTTCTGGTATCGGCAATTACCGAAAAAAAAAAAAAAGTATCGGTACTCATACTCAATACTGAAAAACCGGTATCGGTGCATCTCTACTGGTTACTATAGCAACCGTATTAGAATGGGGGGGAGCTGGAATCAGGTCCCTGCAGGCAAGAAACAAACTTGCCCCTTAATAAGCCAACCTGTTCGGAAAATATTTAAATCCTGCAAAACCTACATTTCAGAATTGCTAAAGTTTAATATGTACTAATAGAAAAGGTCTCTTGGGTTAATGTGTGGATTTACATTAAAAAGACCTTTAAGTCTTCCAAAAACACAATTCAGTCCTGGGAACTCAGAAAGACACTGTGCAGCGTGTTCAAGATGGCTTCCTCCCGGTTAGATCTTGTAGCGTATCAGCGTCCTACACCAGAGTAAGTACGGGGTCAGCTTGTGCTCCTCCTAAATTGCATTATTTTTGGAATTTAAGTTTGGAATCTCTTTCTGCATAAAATACATGATGGCATGAGCCACCTTATCTGGTCCAATATTATATACAGGATGTGTAGGCTTCTGTCAAAGAGGAAAATAAAAATATACATGAATATACTTGTACATAGTTTAGTATTTGCAGATTTAAAATGGTACAGAGATAATCTACACACACAAGCAAGCAAGCAATAAACCCAACTCCTAGTTCTATTGTAATATACAGTAACTGCTATAAAAACAACCTAAAGTCAGTGTTTGCTTGGTGGACCATCATAGAGATTATCTTCCCATCATGAGCCCCTGCCTGATATTAAATAAATGTGTTCAGTAGCTAAGACAATGAGCAAAGTATACTAACTCATAACAAACAGCTGGGAATCTTTTCACTGAAAAGGGATTGATTGGGTTTAGTGCAAAACCCATAACATTCACCTATGGACTGCCTAAATTAAAGTGCATCTAACCCCAATCATATACACTGAGTGGCCAGATTAATATGACCACCTGACATTTGTAGGGAAATTAGCTAGAATTTCGCACTGAAGTTGCTAGCGGGCCAGACCATTATAAATAGGGAAGCAGGTTGTTTACCACCACAGTAGAAGTGATTTGTTTCTGAAGATATGGGGAAACAACGCGATTTAACAGCCTTTGAACGTGGGATGATTGTTGGCGCTCGGAGCCATGGAGCGAGTATCAGCAAAACAGCAGAATTCGTTAAAATGTTCAAGAACAGCTGTTGTTAAAGTGTTTAAAGACTGGACTGTCAGCCGAAAATCTGGGTCTGAACGTGCGAATTATGGCCGTCAGCGACTAGTCAATGTTAGGGCAGAACGGAGAGTGGCAAGACTAGTACAAGACAACAGAAAGGCAACAGTGCATCAAATTACTGCAGATCTTAATCAGGGATCCTCTCAAATGATCTCTGAACGCACTGTCCGCCGCACACTGCATCGTATGGGATATTTTGCTTCTTCCCTCATTTAAGTTTCTAACATTTCTTAAACTGTACTACTTGCCATGGGTGATTATGCATGTTACCCCAACTCTGTACATACAGGCTAATAGAGAGAACACTACCCTATATGTGACCACAAAATGGGCTCAGTGGTGGTAAAGCAGTTCATGTAGAGAAACGATTTTCTTTATCAACCCTTAAAATTAGGGAACATTGTATCTAAGTTATGTAAAATGTTTACACACATGGAAGTCATCTACCATTGGAGCTACCATATTGCTCACACAAAGCAATCTGGATCACCCCTAGAGGACACAATCTAATGGTCAAATATTCTAACAGCATTGTATTGCCGGGGCAAACAAGCAACAGCCAGGGCTACCTATCCCCTATTACGATATTGGGGGTTTTCCCTGACAGACCATGTACCTATCCTTCTAAGAGCTTTCATTATACTGATGGAGGTCATCAGTTGTCACATATCTTCCTACTCACCAAAGTATTTTCTGGAGATCCCACAACCGTTTCATGAAGCATCTCACCACTTCCAAAATGCTGAGCTATAGACAGGCCACTGAGACAATAGCAGGTATGATAGAAGTCTCTTGATCTTTACAGATATAAAATAAGAAAAATTCTGTAATCAAAAGAATCCACGACAATGCTATGAAAGTAAACTATTAACTAAACAGCAGTTCTTACTTGCCGGGTTTGTCTAGTAAACCACCGCTGGGGCATTGGCAGCACAAGAGAATATATTCCTGGAGTGCCTTCTGGTCAAACATCCAATTGGTGTAGCTTAGGGCCAAATCTCCTGCAAAGACAATGCCTTATGTGATACAGTACAAAGATGTTAAGCAACATTCTGTCCCTGTAGCGGCTGTTCAGAGGTCAATCAAACCTTTCCTGAGAGAAACATTGAGTTGCAACTATCAATCTCCTTCTGAAGATGCTTTCTGGCTAGTACAATGACCCACTTGGTTCAGTAAGGTTTGTGTTGCTGACCTGGAACAAGCATGCATATATGTAAAGGCAGACACCCTTTTGTACATGTTTGTTCTGGGTAAAAGAGACAAAGTATTGGAGGAAGAAGGTAAACATGATAGCCAGAAAACAGACATAGAATATAGCAATGGAACCTCCATGCCGCTCTTAGGAAAGGTTTCCATTCAGAGTATGGCAGATTTACAGGGTTATTAAACAAAAAGGGTGATGAGTTTAGAGAAGGCAGGAGAAATGAACAATCTAGGCCAAAATAGCGGGTTTGGGAAAAATTCTCCAATTCAGCTATGTTGTCCTACATTATTCACTTATGCTGCCTTCTCCAAACTCTTCACTTTTCACTATTATTTATTGTATAACTATCCATATATCAATAACATGTTTTCTTTAAAGTTTTATGCAGAACATTAACCCCTTCATGACTAATGACGTACGTCGCTAGCATCGGGGCTGTTTAAATTTGTAAAGCCAACTGTCGGCTTTACAATAGAAGTGATTCTGGCGACTTGGCTAATGCCAGATCACTTCTACAGCCCGTTGAAGGCCCCCCCCCGACACCCCAGCCGTGCTTCCTAAGCTCCGTTGCACCTCCTACAGTGCCGGGACCTGCTTCTCTGGTGTTGGCGAGGAGCTGGGGAGAAAATGGACGAACCTCTGTTCGTTCGTCCCTCCCCATTCTATGGACCAGGAGCGATGCAAATTGCATCACTTCCAGTCCCATAGCTGTCAGTGCTGGGCTCCTGAAGCCCAGCTATAAGCTATTGAAGTGCGATCTGCACTTTAATAGCTTATTTGGAGTGTAAAGGTGACACTGGGGGTCTTTTGGACCCCCCCCCAGTTTCATCTTAAAGAGTACCCGTCACCACCATCTGCTATCACATGTGATTGCAATTAAAGTAAAGCAAAACAAAAAAAATAACAGGTTTTTAAAATTAACATTACATAAAATCAATCTAAAAATAATAAACACGCGTCGGGTGCGCCTACGAAAATGACGAACGCGCTACACATGTTGGGTATTGCTGTGCACGCCGGAGTGAGAGCACTAATTCTAGGGCCAGTATTTTTGGGTATCTCTAAATTGATGACCTGTAGGGGCTTTTAAAGCGTCTATGGATTTTTGGGGGTACTAAAGTTTGTCGCCGTTTCACGGACGCACACAAATTTTTTACCTGTTGGGTATCTATTAGCTCGTTGTCACCTCAACATTATAATATAAAAAAATTGGTGCTTTGGGGCATTTAAGTAAATTTTTCACTACATTTGGGGGTTTGATAAGGAGTTGCGCTAATATCATGCAACATAAAAATTTGCAGCTGCCACCATTTTATTCTATAGGGTCTTGGCTTTCAGACAAGATATAATGTTTGGGGGTTTTAAGTAATTTTCAGGCCTAAAATGTCGAATATAACATGGGTGCAAAAAATAAAAAAAAGGCTACAGTCATGAAGGGGTTAAACCAAATAATTCACAGCAGTCCTTGCTTCCAATCTAAATCTATAACTGCCGTTTTACGGCAGGGCCAGATCTGGGCAAAATTGGTTATAGGTATTACATGAAAGATCTGCTAACATACAGTATTCTTGCAAGTGCCTGGATCCGCACAGGGATTATGATGTCAGTTTGTAATACATTTTACGCAACCTGCCATTATAAAATGCAAAAGGGTAGATAACCAGTTTCTTCTATGGGATTTGCTGGATATAAAGTCAGCTTATTCATATTGGCTTATTCATATTTTCCAACGCTCGCAGATTGCCAGCCGATGGTGGGGCACACTTGGTATAGGGGAAGATGGAACCTGACATAATTTGTATGTTCAGTGAAGGACAAATAACAAATATTCACAAATGTGTAATATTATTACAAGATTTTCACAAGAGTAAGCACACGAATACCATCAAGCTGTACTGTAAAAGCTGCTCTATAATAAACTTGTAGCAGGAAGATTGTTACCTTCAGCATGTAAAGTTCTATGGAGGAGAGGCATCAGACCAGCTTGCCAAAAGGAATAGCAGCCATCAACCAGTTTGTTACAGCGACCTTGGAATCCACCCTCAAATCTCATTTGTCTGAAAGCAACCCATCTCTGGAAGAAAACCAAAGGTCAATTGCATTCATGTTTCAAGTTCATACTGGGCAATAAAATATTGGTTAGGTTGTAGATTGGGTTTTGGAACATCTAGTTCTGTTGGAAAAGAGATCATATCTTAACCACCCAGCTTAAACAGAACCAGTCAGGAATAAGCATCAGCAGAAGCTGGACGCTCCATTCTTAAATTACAGTAGTGCAGCCTGTACCAGCAGAGACAGCTGGGATTGGAGAGGACACAAAGCAGAGCAGACTGCTGATGCCCAGCGGGGAGGATGGAATGTCAGGCAGGTTGACAGATTCAGGATGGAAAGGGGATGATTGGTAAAACGTGTTATATTTACCTATCCTTCACTTTCCTGCATGAACACTGGAGTGATCAGTGTAACGGTAATGAGGTCTTGGCACCCCAATACTAATTAGAAAGCCCCTTGTCCCCTTGCTGGCAATAAGCCACTTTTGGATATGATTGATACAGATCATACATCCATATGTATGGGTTAAAGCTCTCCAATTTTGTACTTGTATGAGAAATTGATAATAAAACTTGTTGGAAAGTAAAGCTCTCCAAAAGAGAATACTTCACATTCCACATTATGGCGGGTATAAAAAAAAAACACTAATCCAACCACTAGAGTATGCATGGGCATATTTTAGCATGGATATTGGTATAAAAAAAAAACCCCTTTTCGTTTTTATTTAACATTTGATTTTGGAATGAATGGAGTTTTCGGAAAGAAAAACCACATTCACCGCAACAATTTCATTCAATTGGAAAAAAAAATCTCCAACATGCAACTTCGATTTTTTTCGTCTCTATGATCGAAATCGATAATTTCACTGCATCAATGATTAGATGAACGAACATGCCAAAATAGGTTTCGTTTTTCTATATACCCTACTTAACTAGCAGATCACCAATTACCACTAGACAGCTCAGCAACTGACCCTCAGCTCACCTCTAGAAATAATCATAGGTCCCAAAGTTTACTCAATATTCATAGCTCTATACCTGGGGCCAATACATTAATAATGAATACACCGATCAGCCATAAAATTATGACCAACGAGAAGTGAATAACATTGATTATCGTACTACAATGGCACCTGGAAGTGGGTGGGATATATCAGGCAGCAAGTGAACAACATTTTGTCTCTGAAGTTGATGTGTTGGAAGCAGAAGAAAATGGGCAAGTGCGAGGATGTGAGTGACTTTGACAAGGGCCAAATTGTGATGGCTAGACGGCTGTCAGAGCAATTCGACAACTGCAGCCCTTGTGGGATGTTCCTGGTCTGCAGTGGTCAAAATCTACCAAGAGTGGTCCAAGGAAGGAAAACCGGTTAAGTGGCGACAGGGTCATGGGCCTTCAAGACTCTGATACATGTGGGGAGTGAAAACTGACCAGTGTAGTCTAATCCAATAGAAGAGCTACTGTAGCTCAAACTGCTGAAAAGGGTGTCTGAATCACAGTGCATCGTGGTTTATTCCACATGGGGCTGCATAGCCGCAGACTGGTCAGGGTGCCATTCTGACCCACGTCCACCACCAAAAGTACCTATAATGGACACGAGCACCAGAACTGGACCATGAAGCAATGGAAGAAGGCGGCCTGTTTTGGTATCAATATTTTTTTTTTTTTTTCCCATAGTCCCTCCTGGTACCAGGAGGGACTATGGGAAAAAGGAAAGCAAGCATGGTGATAGTTTGGGCAAAGTTCTGCTGGGAAACCTTGGGTCCCGACATTCACATGGATTTTACTTTAACATGTACCACTTATCAAAACATTGTTGCTGACCAAGTATACCCCTTCATGGAAGCGGCATTCCCTGATGGCAGTGGCCTCTTTCAGCAGGATAATGCACCCTGCCACACTGCAAAAATGGTTCAAGAATGGTTTGAGGAACACAACCAGTATGAGGAGTTGAAGTGGCCTCCAAATTCTCCAGATCTCAATCCAATCAAGCATTTATGGGATGTGCTGGAAAAACAAATCTGATCAATGGAGGCCCCACCTTGCAATTTACAGGACTTAAAGTGAAATTAAAGTCAAAAGGATTTAAAGCCATTTCAAATGCTGATGAAATCACTTACAGTGAATGCTGTTCCTTGATGTTTAAAAGTTGTATTTTCCTGCGGAATCAGCTGGTCCCCTGAGCAATGGCCCTGACCTTGTTTTACCGTGCCTCCTTTCTTAAGCAGAATGCTATGCAGTCAGACTTGTGTGTGCTAGTAAGACACAGCAAATCAAGCTACTTCCCTCCCCCTGGCCCCCTTTCCTACCTGCTGCAAGCTAGAAGATGAACAGTTGCTGGAATCTGCACTGTCCTTTGTGATCTTGTACTAGACAGGAAGTTCAAAGAAGCTGAGCTGAATGACTTGGAAGCAGCTGTTCAGGAACATGAGGATTGTAAGTGTTTGTGGAAAAATGTAAAGCAATGATTTGCTGGGCAATGTATATTTGTTTGATCTGGATTCATTATTGAAAAAGGTCTGAGAGTTTAATACTACTTTAAAAGGATCCACAGTATACAGTGGTACCTCGGTTCACTAACTTAATTCATTCCACGATTCTGGTCACAGACCGAATGGGTCGCAAACCGAATCAAATGTGATCAAACCGCGATCTGAACTAGAGGAAGCCATGACCATGTGTCAGAGCAGGGAAGACGGCTGTGGTTGTGCTCGTCACTTGATGCGGAGTTCGTGAACGGAAGTAGAATTGTTCTGAACTTCCTGTTCGCAAACCAAATTGTTTGCGAACAGAAGCGTTTGTAAAATGAGGTATCACTGTACTTCCAGAGGTCTAGTGGAGTCCATGCCTCAATGAGTCAGGGTTGTTATGGCAGCAAAAAGGGGGACCTACTCCATATTAAGCAGGCGATCATAATGTTATGGCTGATCAGTGTATAAATAGCTGTGTCTTTTAAAATTGAATTTGAACATGATTGGTTTAGGATGTCCACAGGCCTAAAAGCAGGCATTAACCCTTCTGATGCAGACATATCCCACAGGCACGTCAAATTTGATATCTATACGGAACCAATTTAATAACCCACAACAACCTATGGTTTATCAGGTGGTAATATATGAAAATATAGAAATATGTTGATATAAAAACAGACAGCTTGGGAGGGGTAGAGAAAATGGTCATAAAAGTGCTCAGCCTTCCTGCTTAACCCCCCTGATTCTTCCCAATTGGGTTAGGAGCCAGCTCAGGGACACCACCTAGAGTGCCAACAAAAAGCTGCTGCACAAGGCAGCCAAAAGATCTTGTTGATCAAAAGAGGAGACTTGTGTAGCATTAAAGAAGAAGTTGCCTTTAAGAAAAGAACCTTTGCAAACCTTAATTTGGAAAGAACCCCATCCAGATCCATCTTCTGTTACATTGAACTGGACTCTGCTAGAACTCACCAAACCCATGGCCTTTTTGTTTTTACTACTGTTATATTTGTCTCTCTTTTTGTAACATCTTTTTCTGTAAATTTTTTCTGCACCATTTATTTTATTAAAAACGATCTTTTTAATAAGTTGTTAAGCTTATCTCTACGCACTAAATGAGAACTTGGGGTTGAGGCCGAGAGTGCAGGGTGAGGCTGACAGTGATGTTGGCTCAGTAGGATCAGAACTGCGTACAGTCGTGTTAGTGATGTACAGTGGGTTTGGACCAGCCGCTTTGTCAATCAGTACTAAAATTCCAGTGTTCATTCATAACTTAGGAGATAGTAAATGTTTAAATCTCCACAGTTTATGAATGAACAGGAAAGCGCACAATGAACAGGAAGTGAACATACCATCTCTTCAGTTTGTGAATGGACTGGAAAGTGCTCTGTACAGAACACTCCCTATTCTCTGCAGCCCCGGTGCTCAATTAACTACCTCCGGGCTTTCTTTTATATTTTACCAAAAAACTGGGTAATAATAAATGTTTCCTAACATAATGTTACAAAAAACGTTTTTTTTTTTCAAAATTTTCAGTAATTTTTCCTAATTATAATAAAAAATAAAACCCGTAGTGGTGATGAAATACCACCAAAAGAAAGCTCTATCTGTCCCCAAAAAATGGTATACAATTCATCTCAGTACAGCGTTGCATGACGGAATAAACGTCAGTCAAAGTATCGCAGCGCTGAATACTGAAAAATGGCCTGGCCAGGAAGGGGGTCTAAACACCTGGTCTTGAAGTGGTTAAGAAGGACATAGAGGACTATCTGTCCTCAATCTTTTTCTTCATCAAGGAAAATATCAGAGGTCTGTTTAAAACTCAGATATTTCCCGAACCCTCCCAGACTGTAATGTTTTAAAAAATTTGTTAAAAAATGAAACCCCTCCACACACACATGCACCAGTGGGTGTACCTTATGATGCAGTGTGTTATTCAAACACATCACAGTGCCTTTTTAAAAAAAATAACATTAACTGTGTGCGTAACAGCGTGTTATGATGCATTGCATTGTAACATACTGTGTTGTGATAAAATGTAGGTGTGCACAATTTTATCAACAACACACACAAATGGCACTGCAGATAGGACATTACCACAATGTATAGATGTGAGGCTAGCCTCACATAAGCATAAGTTGCTTCTTTACAGTTTTGCTTACATTCAATTGTAACCGTTTCGTAAAACGGTGCAATTAAAAAATTTACAAATAATTGTTATTTAGTAACTCAACACAGTTTTAGAATAACCCCTTCCCGACCAATGACGGGGTTATTCCGTTAATGTCTTTCAGTACCTTAACGACTGGTGACAGAATAATTCCGTCATGAGCTACAAGAGTTGGTCCATTGAGTTAATGCTGTTAATGGGTCCCTCGAGGTCCGAGGCCGACTCTCAACAGCAATTTAGAAGGTCACAGCAGTTCAACTGATCCCTATGATCATCTTGCTGTGACAGCCACCGAGCCGGCATTCAGCTCACTCCGTTGTGCAGGTGGAAGCCGGCTGTGCATTAAAGTGATACAAAGTATCTCTGAGGAGAATACAGTGTCTCCTC